TTTTCATGTATTTTTATTGATTTCAGAGAGGAAGGGAGAGGGAGAGAGAGATAGAAACATCCATGAAGAGAGAGAATCATGGATCGGCTGCCTCCTGCACGCCCCCTACTGGGGATGGAGCCCGCAACCCGGGCCTGTGCCCTTGACCGGGGATCGAACCCGGGACCTCCTGGCTCCTGGGTGGATGCTCAACCACGGAGCCACTCTGCCCAGGAACTGTTATCTATCTTCCCTCTCTTCCTTTCCCATTCTATATAATAAAAGCCTAATATGCTAAGTGTCCGGTTGACCTATCAACCAATCAAAGAGTAATATGCTAATGATATGCTAAGGCTGCTCAACTGCTTCCTATGACCTGCACTGACCACCAGGGGCAGACAGTCGACCAGTCGCTATGACGTGCACTGACCACCAGGGGGCAGACGCTCTGACCAGTTGGTAAATTTGCTGCTGGGGTCCGGCCGATTGGGACTGAGCGAGACAGCATGGACACACCCTGGAGCCCTCCCCCGGCCCCTCCCTGGCCCCCGATCCTGCACCCATGGGGTCCCTCACCCTGGCCCTGCACCCTCTCGCCATCCGGGTCCCCTCTGGGGATGTCAGAGAGCCGGTTTCACCCCAATCCCACAGTCCAGGCCGAGGGACCCCAGTGGTGCACGAATTCGTGCACCGGGGCCTCTAGTTAAACAAGAACCAGGTTATTCATAACCGTGTCAGTGGTAGTCAGCTGTTCTTTGCTTCCGTGCCTGGAAGGGATGGCGTCGGCGTTCAACATGCATCGCGGCATCGTCTGGCTGGGGGGCTCCGGCGGTCTCCCCACCAACGAGACGACGTTCGCCAAGTTGCTGCAAGATCGTGGCTACCGCACGGGACTCATAGGTATGCACCGGGGAGCTCGGGATGCGGACACGGGGTCAGACGGACTGGACCCCCCGTTCTTGTAGCTCAGTCTTCAGGGGGGCTTTGGCTGGGTCCCAACTCCCCTGCCCCCCAATGTCTCTCTGAGAGGAGTCCGTGGGGGAAGAATTTAATATTTATTTTTATTTTTTTATTGATTTCAGAGAGGAAGGGAGAGGGAGAGAGAGATAGAAATATCAACGATGAGAGAGAATTGTGGACTGGCCGCCTCCTGCATGCCCCCTACTGGGGATGGAGCCTGCAACCTGGGCATGGGCCCTTGACCAGGAATCGAACCCGGGACCTCCCGGTTCATAAATCGACGCTCAACCTCTGAGCCACATCTGCTGGGTAGACACCACTGTTGATAGATATTTATTGCCATGTTATTCTTCATGATTTTTGAAAATGTATATTTTATTGATTTTTTACTGAGAGGAAGGGAGAGGGATAGAGAATCAGAAACATGGATGAGAGAGAAACATCGATCGGCTGCCTCCTGCACGCCCCTTACTGGGGATGTGCCCGCAATCTGGGCACGTGCCCTTGACTTGGAATCGAACCCAGGACCCTTCAGTCCGCAGGCCGACGCTCTACCCACTGAGCCACACCAGCCAGGGCCCCCACGGACACCCCTCGTCCCCCCTTTCGTTTCCCCCGCAGGAAAGTGGCACCAGGGCCTGAGCTGTGCCTCCCGGGGCGACCACTGCTACCACCCCCTGAACCACGGGTTCGACTATTTCTACGGGATGCCCTTCGGCCTCCTGAGCGACTGCCGGGCGTCCGAGACCCCAGAGCTGCACCACCGGCTGAGGGTCACGCTGGGCGTCTCCACGGCCGCCCTGGCCCTGGTCCCCGTCCTGCTGCTCATCCCCACCTGCGCCCGCTGGTTCGTGGTGCCCTGGGGGCTCATCCTGGCCATCGCCCTTCTGGTGCTGCTGTTCTTCCTGGGCTGGTACTCCAGCTATGGGTTCGTCCGGCGCTGGAACTGTGTGCTGATGCGGAACCATGACATCGTGCAGCAGCCCGTGAGGGAGGAGCGGGTGTCGTCGCTGCTGCTCCGGGAGGCCCTGGCCTTCGTCCGCAGGTGGGGAGCATCCTGCAGGATTCTTTTTTAAATGTTTTATTTCTTTTTT